TACCCGGTACATCATGACCACAGTGCGCCACATGAACAGCTCACCTGGATCATTTGAAAGTCCTTGGTGAATCACCCATAATAAGCACCTCCTCAACCCAAGTGTGGACAGGTTTTGAGAGCGTACCCTTCCGTTGGTGCCACACTGCCCTCAGCTGTCTCACCACACACTACCAACCACAGCCTCTCAGGGCCAGCAATAACCCATCATTCACCGGGGCCATTCACAGAGGGTAACCCAGGGCCAACTTTACCCTCTGGTGCTGACCATCTCATAAATCAGCAGTTATTATTTTTCAAGGGCCTTTCAATTATTGGCCATAACCCGCTGTTGCTATTTGTCCAGGGATTAAAAAGAAGCAAGGTTATGCCTGGGTAGTGGTGGGGACTCTTTCAAACGATCGAAGGCTGTTTTTAGTGGATGTGCATGTTGTCCAATGACACTTGGCAACATGTTTTTAATTAGTTTGAAAAGCTTGTGGATAATGCTGAACACTATGGATGAATCAAGGCATGTGATCACTGCACATGCACAAGGCCCTCTTCAATGGAGAAACCATTGTGCACACCACTGTACAAGGCAAACGCCCCGTGACGGATTGTCTGCACAATAGCTAGCAACATGTGTCCCGCCACTGAAGGGGGTCCTGCATGATGTTTCCTAAGTTTATTGAAACTGAATTACATTTGGTGATGGATCCATGTCCGATTGTCCATTCATTTGTAAAGGACTGAGCTGTAAAGTGGGAAGCATACATAACATGTTACAATGTATAGACCTTTATCATGCTGCCACCATTTCTGTCATGTTCCCTGTATCCAATAACAGTACTGAATGATGATTTTTTTTGTGCAAAAAGGAACCAGACTATTTTTCCTTCCAGCCTCGCTTTAGTTACGTTGATTTACACGTATACATGTAAGGGGAAAAAACGCGATGGCCGCAACATGATAATGGACTATTGTGTCTCACACTGGCTAGATTCCAGCAAAAGCCCGAAGTACATACATGTACCGGCACTTCACAAGTTGTAGACTCAGCAAGCATGAAGCACAAACCAAGACAAATTTACAACCCAACATTAACTGTGATTCTCATGTTGCTTGATTTATTACATGGAACCTGCTGAGGCTGATATCAAACTTGCTGACAAGAACAAATAAATTCCAAAAGCGCTTGCTCCTCAACCTTTCCAATTATTGATGCTTACCGCAAATGCATGTGATAGACTATGTGTATGGCAACCTGGCTGGATTCCCAAGGTCAACATGGAAAACCAGGGGGCATTTCAACTGGGCCATCCATCATTTTTCTGTAAACACTGGTTTCTAGGGGATATGAAGCACGAATCACAGCTTGAAATTCTCTCAATTGAAGAGTTCGACAGATAAGTCTGGGTAGCTGAAAGCAAGATGACCTCATGCCTGGCCCAACACTGCAGAGCGGTACAAGTTTTAAAGATGGTCAAATGAACCAGTTTCCCTTTGCGGTTCATTTTGAAAATTTATAATTAAAAGCCGTATCCTCTCTGAGTGATCCCCATTTGCTGTTTCCCAGGTCTAGTGTAACTTTGGGAATGATCCCTGGCTGTATGGCTTCTTCTTCTACTTCTATGCAGCTACTCATTTACAGCCTTTTCAGCAACTTAACGAGGACTGTGGTGTGCTGTCTCAAATGGTGGACACTTGTGCAGGGTGCTCTGATAAATGTATATACAAAGTTGGTGCAAGTAAAAAGTCAGCTCCTATGATCTAGGCGCTGATGGCTCCCTTGAACTGCTCCACAGTGGGCAGCTCAATGGCATACGGGTTTATGGCTTCTGACTAGCGCCCCTTGAACAAAGATATTGACTAATTGGGGAACCGCCAACATGGTAGGGCTGGATAGCTCAGTTGGTAAGAGCACTCATTGGAACGGTAATCCGGAGGTCGCAGGTTCAAGCCCCACTCCAGTCAATTTCTTTGTTCAACTTTTCAAATTTTAAAGAGTTAAGAGTTTTCAGCTGAAACAATAAGTGCTTAGGACGTGTGGAATTTGTACTAAACTAGCAAAAAGCAAGGTCAAAGTAATGATAGATGACTTGTCCATCATGCTCAATAATGTCAACTAAAAAGGTTTCATAAAACAACGACTAGAGGGTGGAGACGGATCACCTACAAAACAAACCCAAAGATAGACGGCCTGTCTCTGCATGATTCACTTTGTGTAAAACATCTCCTCTTTCATAGGTAAAGTGGGAAGATGCCTTTAAAGTTTACGTGTAATTCCATCACATCCGTTTTCGGAGAGCTCTTTATCAGGCCAAGCTGTGCCCCAGACACAAGAAATATTGGTATCATTATCAAACAGCAATTGCAGTGTGGCAATTTCCCCTGTGGCCTTCTGACACCAGGTACACCTGAGAAAGCTTTTACCAGGGACGTCTTGAAGGATTTACAGGTAAGGAGTGCAACAGGTAGACAGTGGGGTCTCCCACTGAGACACAGCAGGCCTCTGTACTCTTTTTGAGTGTAGTGGCTTAGGGAGGAAGGGTTTCGCCGTCTCTTTGTAAAGTGGATTATCAACACAAACACTCATTGGACAGTTATGGTAACCTCTGATCTTGTCGACAGGTGAATGTGTTACGTCTAGATGATATGGAACATGCAATAACAATGTTCTTGGAATGGCAAATGACAATTTGTAACTGATATGATTCAAGGCCAAAGTACAGAAATTCATGTGCACTTTTCATCAAATTTTTATTTGGCCCATAAGAAAGTTCAACCATTTTGTCAATGGCACGCAAGTGTTCTTCAATTACACAATGTTATTGTTATAAACAAATTATAGTAATGATTATACAACACCTGAATAAATCCCCGTCATCTGATTGGTGGATCGTTGATCACATGTCATTGAATTATTCGTCCCAACACATAGCGCGCGCGCGGCGCGCAGTGCACGGTGCAATGGAAGTTCTATTGCACGGTGAATAGAACTTCCATTGCACGGTGTCACTGCTGCTGGTGGTGGCGCTGTTTTTAATCGAGATAATTTGAATATGATGGTTCTCAACCTGCAGTGTTGAACAGTTTGCATAAATCAAATATGATGAACTTGTCGAACTTTTAGACAGTTTTTAACCTGAATAAATTGGCTATTAAAAGTCAACCAATCAGATGACAAGGATTTATTCAAGTGTTTATTCGCCTCGTGGAATGGAACATTTCATCTGTCACCTCATGAAATTATTCTTGCCATTGCACTCACAAACATTTATTACTTGTATACGTATAGTAACGAATAAAGTCAATTGGACTACAAATTTAGTCATTACCATCAACTAACCATACCGGTACATACAAATTATACGGTAGAGGACTAGAGGAACGATAAAGAAAGGTCTGGTTGTCAGGTCTAGATGCAATTTCCCCACAAGTGGGGTGCATTTACGGAAACCGGGTACCTTATTGAAGTAAAACAAAGGTACCTGGGTTCCCGTAAAAGAAAATCCAAATCCCAGAAGTTGTCTGAAGGGCTTTATAAGATTTGCGGGTTATGCAACTTTCACGAGCGTCATCTAACATGCCTTAAAGGGACACTCGGTCCTGGAACAGCCCAATTGGACTACAAAACGCGCTTTAAATGAGATCATGTTAATCAGAAAGAACATTTAAAAGTAAGATATAAACATCCACACAACTATCCTTTAAAAACTGGGCGTTTTTGTGTTATTCCTGTATTATGCGTGCGAGAACGAATTTCGGGGTCCACTTTTGCGACACCATAAATTCGAGCTGTTTGGATGCTAGTTGTGATTTCATTCGTAAAGTGTTCGCCTTTTGCAGACGTTGAAGAAACCACTTTTTTTGCATTGGTGATTGGTCACCGCTGTTCCCGAGACACACAACGTGTATATCGTACACTGTATGAGAACGACACGAAAAACGTATTCGTACTCCGTCGTGTCCGATGTAAGCAACCAGGGATTTTTCCTCTTTTCTCGGGAACGGTAAGACATTAGGTTGGTTTCCTTTCAACCACATGTTTGAAATAGGATAAGTAAACAATCCAAAACATGAAATTTTGGGGGATTTCAGGACCTAGTACCCCTTTAAAATGCACATAGACGTGAAATTTGTAATGGTCTTTCAAGTAGCCTGGTTTTCATTTTGAAAATTCCCCACAAATGGCATTCAAATTTTTCTTTTACATTGTTTTAAAAGTTAATAAGTAATTTGTAAATTTGGGTATGGGTACCCGATCCCAAAATCTGGAACCTGTTGTTACTGACATTCAGTGGTCCGGTACTCGGGTGGCTGGTTCTGATGCAAATCTATTCCCTACATTATCAAGTAATACCAGAATCACATGTGGCCTACATCAGCACGGGAAAAATTACAATCTACAGGTACCAATAATCCCACAATATTGGTGAGCCAAGTACCTACCTGTCACGCTGTATCACATACCTGGAGCAAAGATCCCTGGAGATATTGGTTTACATATTCAATCTGGCCGACTTCAAAAGCTTCACTAGACCGACCTACAATACACTCTACCTCCCAGGGTAGCCTGTTGAAAAGTGATTCAGTACTGATTACTATGGCCCAGTTTCAATCTAGGTCAGTGGTTTATCTTATTCATGATCGGGAAATAATAAAACAAGATCCCTGGAATAGTCAGATAGTCATGTGCCTCCTATAAACTCAAGACACCTTGGCTCAAATTACATTGAGACACGACATGAAACTTTTGCACGGATCATACTTAAAAGAAAGTTGTCAGTGTTTTGAACTTTGAATGAACTTGAATACCTGGGAAGAGTTCACAGATGAAACTGGGTCTTCACGTAAATCGAATTCATGACGGCAGAGAAAACCAGGTCATCAGGGACATAATTCAAGAGATCTCTGCATGAATTAGAATAATGACTTTAAAACAATTTTAACAAAGTACATAATATTATTAACATACCTTGGACCTTTAGAAAATTGTTGACATCGAGACTTTTGTTGAGATTTCGGACTCCGACCTTCAAAACAAATTTTCCAAAGACCAATAATAAAAGGTTTCAGGCAGAGTGATGCCTGTTATGGGCATCTTGCAAAGACAACTTTAACACTACAGTGTACCTAAAATTTATCTACACGTACTTGAACACCATTTCATTTTTAAGACAGATTTGGACGATAAAATGCTGACTGCAAGAGAACTCACGAATTGGGACCTTTAAGAAAGTTCTACAGAGACTGAACTCGGACCTTTAAGAATATTAAGCCAGGGATTTACCTCCAGACATTTAATTGGGTTTCAGCACAGGTTTGTAGGCTGCCAGAGTGCACCCTTCCCCTCTGCAGCAACCCTAACACCTGTCCATGCTTGAGTGATGTTTAGTTTATGGCTGCCTGGATGACCAGGGGACAATTTCATGGTGCAGCTTAACAGTTAGCAGAAAAGTTGTGCTTACTATAGCAGAAAATTACGATAACCTTAATCCTCCTAGATGCCAACTTTATACACGCTATGCAAAGTTGTCCTTTCAGTCAAAATCAATCAAGTGACTGTTTTCAACAGGTAAGAGCTCCCAGCCTACGCAGAATTGACTGGCTGTGACTGTTTATGTAACTTGATACAGCTACAGTGTCTGTTTTGACTGTAGGTGATTGGTAAGCCAGCTCTGCCAACTTCTTGCCTGCTTTTGTCTGACGACTGAATTTGACCGTAGAATAATTCCTCCATGATTTGACTAGTAACAGTGCTTGCTTAAAATATGATCTGACTGTTGGTGACCAGCCTGTGTAAAAGGCTTGGCAAGGGAAAAATATTGACTTTTTGACTGTCTGTAACTGTTCAAACAGCAGGAGGGTTTGGCACTATAGATTTCAAGGTGTGGATCTGCTAATGGTCGCGCGCACATGGAAATTTCTATTGTAACATTACCGATTTAAGCAACTTTTCCTTCTGATGTAAGCGTGCCTTTTGCTGTTCTTACTGCTTACCGTCTCCATGAAATAGACGAAGGCTCTGTTGCTTAGCAGCGCCATAATTGGGCCCAGGGGCTTATTTTCATGGAGCTGCTATAAGCACAGAAATCTGTTAAATCATTTGCTTAATAGCAAAAACAGGTTACCAACCAAAGTATCAATATATTATTGCTTGATACTGGTTCTCAGCAAATTTTTGATTAGCATATGATCTGCTAACCAAACAATTCTGCTTAAAAAATATTCCCCAAGAAATTTTGCTCCGGCCAAATCTCACGGAAATGCTTAAATCAAACAGAAAATTTTACTAACCAAAATTACAAGTTTGCTGAACAAAAAACTGTGGCTGGTAACCTTGTTTCGCTAAGCAAATAGGCTAATGTCTGTGCTTAGCAAATCTCTGGGCTTCGCTTAACATTGGCGTTTCAATGTCTACGTGTACATCTTACGAGTTAGCGCCGAGGTGTAAGGAACGAGGATTGCATCTGACAGCTCCTCCATCACGGAAGAAACTGGATATAAGGCTGGAGTGCAGCTTAATGCCCCATCAATGACTTGAAAGATAACCAGACATACATCATTCAGGAGGCTCTCTCCAAGTGAGGTCCATTTCTTCGAATTATTCAGACAGGAACGGGAGAACTTCAACATAAAAAGCATTTCTGCCATGAACATTCCTACCAGAATTTGATTACTAATGGGCTACATGTACGACGTTCAGTGTGGGCACAGCAATTACACGTATCATCAGTGACTTGATGTGATGCTCCCAGAAAAGGTCAAAAGGTCTCTCGATGGGACGTTCGAATACAGTCCAATTGCCCAGATGGAAACTTAATGACTGAGGAATAGTTCAGGCCTGCACATGGAGAACCACTAACACTGCATTTAGGAAAGGCTAAACAGACGAGCATGGCAAGAAAGACAATCCCTTAAAAATGTTAAACGCTTGTAAACAAAATCATCAGGTAATTTTCGAATGGAATATCGCTCAGATGAAATTCCTAACTGGACAAGCAACTTCAAGTCACGCAAAGTTGAGTACAGATCCCGCAAGTGATATTTTCGTAGGCGACATGTTCAAAATGGTCTACACACATGCATTAGTACGTGTACAAATATCCTAGTACAATATTAAGCGATCACTGTACAGTGTACACTCACAGGGCCCCCTTCAATGGAGAGCAGCATTGTGCTAGCTATTGTACAGAGCAACTGTTCCAAGATGGATTACTAGAATAATAGATAGCACAATGCTTTCGCCACTGAAGGGGGCTTTCGCCATTGAACTTGGGGCCTCGGTGATAGAAGTGATAGCATGCCGGGAAAGGTCTATACCATGACCAATAATTTTAAAACAATTTTTCAAAGGAGAGGTCATAAAGTTCATGCCTTGCACATCACATCAAGTCATTGCATTTGTCCCTGGCCCTCCCCACTTTGGACCCCACTCCAGAGACTAGTATTCGATCCAGAGGGGGGGGGGGGGGGGTGGTTGGTGAGTTAACCCCCCCTCCCCCCCCCCCCCGACAACTGTCAAAATTTGTATAGATAATGATAACGTACATGTAGGATTTCCTCGTTGCTCCCCATTGAAAATATGGTACGCCCCCCCCCCCCCCCCCCCCATTGCTTTTCGGAGGCCTAAGTGTTCAGAGAAAAAAAAAGGTCTACATTTCAGCACGCCTACCTGCAAAATTTTCTGAATCCACCCCTGCTAGCCCCCCTAAAATTTTGGCTCAACATGTAGAACCGAGCCTGGCCCCTACATATGCCCCAAACATGCCTCAAGCTACATGTACATGTATACATGTATGCATGTGATTTGATGACACACTTTGATCCTGATGAAAAACTGATGACACCCTGATACATACACATCCTAGCCTTTACAGGTTTTCCTACATGTAATGAATATCATCAATTCCCAAGCTAGGGACTGCACAATATACATGTCGCCAGAGGCAGAGGAGATAATGACAGAAGACACTCATTCTTCTCTGTCATTGCAGGCCTTCATTTTTAAGGAGCGCGAGCGCGATCGCGCTCCTACGCGCTCCTCAACACGGTTTCTGGCGCGCGAATAATAGCGCTCCTAGGTAAATTTGTAAGCTTATTGTCGTCTCCAGTTTTTGTCTACATAAAGCCAACAGTAAAATCTTGTCAATCCAAATTTTATATACTTGATTTCTTAACTTGTCATCCCGATGTTTGAACGATTTTGTTGCAAAAAAAATTAACAAAAGTAAGTCGAATACCTGCGTAAAACCACCCATAATCATCGCAAGGATTTTGTAAACATCGGACTTCGCAGTTACTCGAGCGGGTCCAACCCGTACATCATGTACAATGGACACATTAGCCATTTTCTTTTCGTCAACGACATGTAGCACGTTCCATTATGATCAAGGGTACTGGCAGGATCGTCATTCAGACGTGCACCGCCGTTAAGTGAATAAAATGAAATAATAATTACGGTTGAGATCAGTTTATAAATTAGTTTATAAATATTTATAATGTAAAACTAAATAAATAAACCTCCGATGAACTGAAAACACAAAACAATTATGAAATGGATGGGCTGAGCAATTAAAACCACCTACTTTGTAATACCAACACCCCTATTTTCGATAAAATGGACGTGGCCCAAGCACACGTGTTGAGTGTGTGAGCGATGTTGTGCGGCATCTAATACTGTGCAGCCAGACAACAGTGGTTAGGCCTACGTGAAATTACACCGTTTTTCTGGAAGTTGTGATATTCCAAAGGGAGCCAGAGTTTTTGAACGGCATTTTGAATGATCTCCGGTACATCTACAAGAAACTAGCGTTCATTTTTGACAAGTTTGGGTTGGAAATACCTTACGAAAGGTTGAGCTCATTTGTCCCACAACGATAGAGTGCAGAGCGATTTTCCGTGTGTCAACTACCGGGCTATGCCCGCAAGCGCGGCCGGTCAACAGGCCACCCGTGCACGGTGACATTGTTTGTGCGTAGTACCATTGGACATTTTGTAATGGCGTTACTTGTACATTTCTGTGACCTTACTTTCGATCATTTCGATTACTTTCGATCCCGATTTTTTTGTGCCCAAAACCAAATATTCATATAATTATTTTCCTTTTCTATTTTACTAATTTTGAGGATTTATGTGACAAAAAAAGTATTTCTTTGACAGATGTATGACCGGACTTAAATTAATTGGATTTTTTTTTTGGGGGGGGGGGGGGGTTCTATTCATCAATTTGGATATAAATTTAGAACCCCTCAAAAACACGGTTACACCACATGATACATATAAAATGCAAATTTAAACAAAAACAGGTTTTTAGTAAAGTTAGTAAACCAAAATAATTAAACTATTTGATAAAAAAAAATCAATAAATATAAACTGAAATAAACAGTAAACAAAACAAAATTAAAATAAAATAAAGTGAGTATAATAAAAACGAAGTAAAATAGAACAAAATAGAAACACTAAAGAACCACAAGTCAACTCCAATTTGTTTTTCATTTTTATTTCCACATCTGGATGATTCACAAACAAGTAAAACTTAAACCTATTAAATTGACATGGATTAAGCACTCAATTTGTAGTGAACAGTCGCATCTGTTTCTCAGTTCTGATGCAAGTGTGTGTGCATGATATGAAAGGCTTCAGGAAATGATTTGGATTCATTTTTTACTTTGAGCACAAAACATGCAAATCGAGCTCCTCGGACTTTTCTAGGAGAGCAATTTTGGGTGCTCAAATTGAGCTCCCGGATTTCCCAGGAGAGCGATTAACTGAGCTCCACGAATTTCTAAAAATGAAGGCCTGCATTGCCTGGATTGAAACAAAAAAATTGTGATATCCCCACGAGCAGGAATATCATTTGAAGGCACACATGGGATGGGACATTCACATATGTATGAATTACCGTGGGCTGCCAAAATAAAATGGCAGAAGAATGTGCCTCCACACTGTTTTGAAAAAAAAAGAAGTAGAATTTAAAAACTTGTCTGTTACTTTTACTAATCCATTTCAAACCTTCAAACTATTCACGGATGTGCAACTGATTGCAAACAAAATGTGGACCAAAACGATTTTGTAAATTGGAGGCAGTTTTTGAAAAAAGTCAAAAGATGGTCAGCCGACCATTGTTGGAAATCGATATTAAAATTCCACTTTTCTTGAAAATGACAGCACACCAGGTGCCATTGTTTCACAGAATGCTTGAGATAATTATTTACTTAGTCAAGTAAGGTATTTCATAAACTTGGTAATTTTGTTTTTTGATGTTTGCAGATGTTGTATTATTACCTTTGAGAGATTACACCTCTATACCGGTAAATTACCTTGCAGTCAGTGAATTAGAACTGTAGTTTATTAGTAATGTGGAGGTTTTCTGCTACAGTTTTAACAACACGGAGTCGATTCCTACTTGGAATGGTGACTCCTGGACAGAATTGGAATTGATTCCAAAAATGTTGGAGTTGCCTAAGCTTACGTAAGAGCTGAAGAGAAAAGAACAGTTAACTGAAAACTTTTAATTAACAAGATACTGGGTCTCTACGGCTTTAACATAAATCTGCAAAAATATTGCAGACTGTGTTTGCCTCTATAGATGCGACATATTGTCGATGATTCATCACAGAGCCCAGCTACAGGAACAGCTTGCACATTAAATGCTTGAGGCATTATTCTAGGTTTGTAGGCCATGATAGCAAACGCTTTTAGGCACGTCTAGGGTCAACTCCACCGATTCTATAATCTTACATCAACCACAGACGGGACGGGGGGACGGGGCACGTCTGGCGGGATTGAGGGGCACATCGTCCGATGGGACTGGGGGCAGTCTGCGGTCGCAAATACGATGCTCATGATCCCCTTCAGCTGTTGTTACACCCTCGGGGTAATTACTAGCCTATAGTATTGTGAGGTTCTCTGAATATGAAATTCCCCTGGTCTTAAAACTGATTAAATTGAATTGAAAATGAATATGAACATTTCCAGACTGCACTTAACATTCTTTGAATGAGATCACCAATTTGTTGTCAATATGTAAAGAATAGCATTATGTGACGGAGATGACAGCAGTTATATTTCAGGCTGAAATCCAGACTAGTGGGTACTCTGGTGTCATGCGCTTTGGGGGTAGTGTGCGTAACATAATTTTCTTCAAGTCTTTCAATGAAAAGCTGCAGTTTTCAGTGTCATTCGAACAACTGCACGGAAAACAAAGGAGTACAAAATAAGTAACAGTTTTGGGTTTCAGCTTGATGCTACAGAGTTTTGGACTGTTTTCATTTTGTTGTTGTTGAAGATTTGAAGCATTTCCTCATTTTAACACTAGCAGCCGCAGATTAAGGGGGCAGGGGGAAGGACGGAGAGGGGCAGCCAACCCCCTGGGTCTACAAAAAAGCCCCCCCCCCCCCCCCTCCAAATAAAGTAAAAATTACACAGGTGATGATACCCTCTCATATAATAAAGTGCTCAAAATTACCGACATCAGAACTATAATACGTTCAGCATGCTCTCGGGTCTGATGCCCCGAAGGAAGACACCCCCCCCCCCCCAACACACTTGTGGTGTTTTAATGAAAGCAAAAATAGTAAATATCCATTTCGCCATTTTATTCCTGCCTAGGGCAACTCCCAAATGACACTCCCCGTTTTTGTTTTAAAAAGCACAAATAATTTCAATTTAGAACGACCACAAAAGGACCGACCAAATCTTGAGGCTTACCGCACGTGTCTACTGACGCACACAGAAGTCACGAAGTTGAGCTCTGCTTCCCGGCTAGGCTGCGGTCCTTCAAGTTTTAGAATCCAGGGGAAATTGGACACAGCTGATCCCAGCTGGACTCGTCACACCTTGCGAAGAGGGAACTGGGGAACATGAAAAGAAAAACATCATCAGTTGTACAAACAATGAGGTGTTGTAGCAAGCAGGAGGTTGTGTGCTTTAGTGGGGTCCTTGAGGCCTGTTGCCTGCTAGGGTTTGGATTAACTGTCGGTCGGTGTCCACTGTCTAAAGCTTATGAGGTTTTTGACCCTTGGCTTCACCTTACTTTGATTTCGGGGCTCAATTTCATAGAGCTACATGCACTTAACTAGGCGTGTACGACAAGTGCGACTAGTCGACTAGACGCCAAAGCTAAGCATTTGTAGTCACGACTATCAATTTCTAAATAGTTGACTAGCCGTTTTGCCGCAACTAGTCGTTATGCCGCGACAAATGATTCCGCTATGCTGCGACTAGTGGTTGCGCCGCGACTACCGATCTTTGCCCCGCGACTTAGTAGTCGTACCGTGCTACACTGCAATTACGAAGCGACTACACAGTCCTTTAATAGTGCTCGTGTAAATGGTTAATGCAGCACACACCGACAGCCACACAATGTGACTGCACATACATGTACAATGTATGCTCCGTTGTATACATAATGGTACACTTGTAATGAGCAACGTGGTTACACGCAAAGACGTACATGTAGGTAGGCCTGCCTGTACAGAAGCAGTCTTCGAATTTCCAAAGAAAAGAAAAAAAAACGATAATTCCTGGAGAAATTGTGAGAAAATGATCAGAACATTTGTACCCCGTACATTTTCAAAAGACCACTTTCACTTCTTGCCACCAGGCCATTTATGTGCATGCGCACGTACATGTACATTTAAATTTATTAGTAAAAAGGTCTGTTGACCAGAAGTATTCCTGGATTATCGCAACTAGTCGCGACCAACGCCTTAACTTAACAGAAAACATTGCTTAGCCAAATTTATGTGCTGATCAGAAATCAGCCGGGAACCAGTCACATGCCAGTGTATCCTGTTATGACATTTTTGGCTGGTAACCTGTTGTTGCTCAGCAATTAATTTTGTGCTTAGACAATGTATGTGCTCAACAGCTCCATGCGATTGGCGACAGGACATTTTAGGCCCCTCGTTTTGGGGATTCAGAGGGCCTGATTTAGTTCATGGCTCTGCTAACCACAGAATACACGAACGATCGCCATTCTGTGCTAACAACGCTAGCAGAAAAATTCTGCACACAATCCTTGACTACAGGATGTATGCATACGCAGAGCCAAAGTTCCTCGCTAACCTGTAAAATACGCTTACCGAAACCACAGCATTTTCTGCTACAGTAAGCTGAGCCATTGGGCCGTGATCCAACACCTTTTTACAGCTCTGTATTTTATTCGGGAACATCAAATTGTGGTTTGTATAAAACAAAACGTTGTGAGGCTTCATTTAGACTGTAGTACCAGCAATTCTAAATGACAACATGTAAAAAGTACAAAACAACCAAAGACTTTTGCTACCAGCAAGGTCAAACTCGTTTTCTTTTTATCACCCCCATCTTTTATGGACTCTGTGAAAACAGAGAATAGTGAAACAGGGAGAGTCTGGGGAGACCACTGGGAAGATCTCTTGAACACAATTGCTGAAGGTGCCCGACACTCACACAACGTTACGGTTAGGCATGGGCGAGTAGTAGATTTTCCCACTCAAGTACTTGCAGAGAAATTACTGGCAAATAGTCAAGTACTCGCGAGTAGTTTACTTAATTCCCATAAAAACAGAAAAATGGCATAAATAGTTAATACAAAGAAGGAAGTTACTACGAATAAACACGCATGGAAGACAAACCGCATTCGTCAGCACTGAGATATCCTTACTATGCAAAATTTTGGCTGATTTGACTCGAAAATGTATTTGTTGAGAGTGCTATTGGAATCTCAAGGAAACAGATGGAGGTAGTGATTCCTTTATTGTGGAGGACTTATATTATTTTACATTAAGTTTGTAAAAGAGATGGGTGGAAACCGTGCACAGGAGTGTGAGCTCGTATTTCTGTAAAATTCTCATGAAACTGCGCCCTAAAATTGCTCCATTTTGCAACGGAGCGCAAGCATATTTTTTCAATATGGCGATGGGCCACACAGGACTACTTTCCGGGGTGATCATCTTTGGATGGAATTTTCTCCCAAAAGTTATCAGAAACCGGAACAAAAATCGAACACAAAATGAATTTTGAAATAAGCCTCCATTTGATGGGTGTGTCAAACACATCGGAGAGTTGTGAGTATTTTTAATAATTTTTGAAAGTATGCGTAATTATCACTGAAGTCTATGGGAGTCAATTTGCAGGTCTGCACCCATACAGTTGAGCGAAAGGAAAGGTGAGGTATTTCTCTCAGCAGTGATTTATTACCATTTCGCATGTATACATGGATCCACAATAACAACTAGAGGATCACTCAGCAAGGCACAATTCAACTCATGTGTTGTTGCTAGGAGTATGAGTCATGCTAAGACCTAATGGAATTTTTGTAATTAAATTTAATCAATCTGCCAGTGGAAGGAAATCTGCAACCCCACCAGAATTAAAATTCATTCGTCATCTACGTATCATGATGCTATAGATCTGATAATCCTATTAGTAGCAACCATGGATACAATAAATGTGCACATGAGTTCATGTCTATTAAAACAAAAATCATTAAGTACATTTATATCAAATAAATTCACAATGTATAAAATCATGCAGCAGTCATGGAGGTGCCGAGAAACGTCCAGGAGACCAAATTGGTGTGCATTTAGTTGTTGTTAGTGAAGCCACTATCAAATGGAAAAACAAACAAATTGAGGCCAATTAACTTTGAGGTCATTTGGTTTTAAATGTGTCATATCCCAGCTCCTAAATTCTTAAGACTATGCTTAAACATACAGTGGATGATTTACAAAGCAAAGTTCTATCATTGAATTTGCTATAACAGAGGGCGCTGTTTCAATCTACTGGTGCATACTTTTCCTGTACATGTGAAGTACATTGTTGTGCCAAATGTGCTATCATTCTCATACAGGAGGAAATAATAGAGTCTGTTTAAAAAAAAATAATAATTGTGTGATGTTACACTGAATAGTATTTCAATTGGGGAGGGGGAAAAAATTACTACAATCCCCCAAAAACATCTCTTTGTGCTTTCTTTAAAATAATTTGTAAAGCAGCGGACTGGGTGGGTATGGGGCAGGACAGAAGTGGCATTTATAATGGGTAAGACCATTACCAAAAATTATTGGTTGTACCTTTAATGCTTTGGGACAACTTTCCATCTCGCTTTTACTTACAAAAAGACAAAATTTACAAGCTCTCAGGGAAGCTAGGGCATGGGTATAATCTTCAAACCCCAGCCCAAGTAGAAGGCAAGAAGAATACCATCGAAGCAATACACATTTGCCAGACCTATAGAATTTGACTATTTATGATATCAATCTGCTCCAGTCTTAAACATGTTAAAAGACTGTATCTCATGCACTTGCCTTTTCTAAAGTATCTAGTGAGTTTACTGCATGTGCGAGTATGAGGAGAGGACACATGTACATGTACACAGCTTGTAATACGATGCCGGGTGGAATCTCCAGTTAGGTTTAAGGTCTCACATCTTCAACTGTATTGCCCAGAGGTGTTTTGTCTTCACACCAGTTTTAGTGGGTTAATCTGGTTTTACCTAAGCTGATCCTGATTTATGTCAACTATGTAGGCACACTGACATTAAAATAGCCTACGGCTGCCTACATGTACACCAAGTACCAGTAAACACAGGCGTCCCCAAGGAAAGACTTACATTTTCCATGAAGCAACGTCTATCTACCATCAAATTAATAAAACTCCAGTTGCCATTTCATACACCACTGATTATTTCATAGGCTCCTTCCTTCAAATTCATTAAGCAATGCCGTCACTGAATATCATTAACGGCAACACAAACGGGTCTGTAAAAAGTGCAAGAAAATGTCAATATACTTTATACGCAGCAGGAAAAGAGCTTTGTCAAAATTACAAAAGCAGACGTAGATGCGGCAAAATTTCTTTTGATATTTTGGGTTTTTTTGTAGAACTAGCAATTACCAGATGGCAAACTTGACCGCATATGGTTTCTTTTGTCAATCAAGTATGCCAAGTCAAAAGGCAGCTTAAATCACTTATTCTGTAGGCATTTTTAATTTTAAATGGAACTTTAGAAACTTGAGCCGGCCAAAAAGTCCTCCACTATAGAGGACCCAATGGCAATTTTTTTGTTACAAATACATGTAATACGAATAGGAAATTAAGGCCAAAAAAAATACTTCTGCTTCCAATTACATGGCATTTGAAAATAGGGTAGGTAGGTTAGGGATTTTTTTTGAGGGGGGGGGGGCAATATTTGTTTGTGTACTATCATATGGGTAAAATGTAGTAATTGATGGTTTTCAGATTTTTTCCTCATTTTTCCCAAAAAAAAATTAGGGTAGGGGCTGTCAAAATAGGGTAGGTAGGGTAACCGGAAGCAAAACAATTTTTTTTTGGGCTTAAGAGATCTGGTAGCTACTTGGGGGGGGGGGGGGGGGGGTGGGGGCTAAGAGATCTGGTAGACAAGGGTTAAGTTCTAAATGTATTGTTTCAATGCAGCTGAAAATTTAAAAATCAAATTCACAGAATTTAGAGTGGTTTCATGGAACAGAGACACAATTTTATTCAGGGTATGTTTCAGATTCTGTGTCCTCTACATAACTTGAGGATTTTTTTTTTAAATTAGTCATCAATGGGAACCACGATTTTGAATGAAACTGATCCAGCAAATTTATGGAAGAGAAAGACTTGTGAAACACAACCAGAAAATGGCATGAAGTGGGGAGGTTTTTCAGGAGGAAAATATGTGTACAGACTAAGGGAAGAAATACTCTGTGGCTTTTGTATGTTTCAGTTTTGCACAGAGTCTGTGCAAAACTGAAACATACAAAGCGTTAAATCTTTGTATTCTGATTTTTTTCGTTTTTTTTGTTTTTGTTGGGGGGGGGGGGGGTTATAGACATGTTAGTCACGATACCAATCGATTAAAGCT